TGGGGGCAGCGCCATGTCCATTATAGCTGATTTACCCTCTGGAGGGAGCTCTGGGGCTGGAGCAGACACTGGAGCGAGTTCTGGGGCCGGAGCCGACACTGGAGAGAGCTCTGGGGCCGGAGACCTTCCCGGGCAGAACTGGGGATCAGGAGCCCTTCCCGGGCTAAACTGGGGATCCGGAGCCCTTCCCGGGCTTAACGGGAAAACAGGAGCCCTCCCTGGGCTGAACAGGGGATCAAGGTAGCGCTTATGTGGTGCTGGCACTGGAGGGCACTCTGGAAGAGCAGGCACAGCAAAGCGCTTTTGAGGAGTTGGCACTGGAACGAGTGCCACATGAACATCCGGCGGGCTTGACTTCCGATTAGCCGGCCATCTTGACTGCGGTGAACCCGGCGCTCCTGGGCTGAAGACTCCAGCAGAGCTTCGGAGGACCACAGGGAATTTGGAGTTAGGCAGGCGGTAGGAGCCGTTGGAGGGGTATGTGGAGGTTCTCGGCGTGGGGTGAGCTGGGGAGACATGGCACATTCCTGCGGGAGTTGGATGACGAGACTTGGGAAGTCTCATTACTCCCTCAACATCCATATCAGAGCTATTTAGGAATAGAACGAGATTAATCAACTCGATCAAAGGAAAATCACCCATTGGGAGAGCGCAGCAGATTATTTCGTCATCCAACCCCAGCAGGAAGCACGCACCTAGAGCAGTGTCGTGCCAACTCACCCGGTTGGAGAGCTCGAGGAAACCCGACACATATCGCTCCAACCTCTGACCGCCTTGCCGCAATCCCCACAGCGCGTCCTCAGCTGCAGTCATCGTTTGGGTCCGTTCTTCTGTTACGGGTTGGTGAGGTACGAGGACGAGGGAGATATACAAAAGGTATTTTAATCAACAAATCCAGGAAAAAGGCAAGTAGACCAACATTACATTAACGAGAACGGACCTCGATTAAGGGAAAACTGAGAGTATTTGTAGGGGAGCAAACGAAAGAACTAATGAGTTAATTAATCAAACCCAGGTGAACGAAATGACAATTAGGAGCCAAAGTAAAACTAGGTCACATACCCGTGAGACAGGTTGGTTCTTATATCTCTGTACACTTTCACAGTACAGATGGGGCCGAATGGGAAGAATATTGCATGCAACTCCTGTTCTGTCACATTTGGGTGCAGCTCATTCACAATCAGTGACACTGGTGGATTAGAGCTGCTCTCCTTTTTTTTAGGTTTGCCATTCCTGACACAGACCTCTCTGCGCTTCAGGATTTCCCCAAAGTTTGAAACAGCATTCTATATAGCGGGCCTGTCATTGTGCCTTGCTTGGACATTAATAGTTATGTGTTGGGCCCATGTGATGCACATTGGTTTGCCCATGAGCTCCAAACAACTGAGCCTCTAGGGCATTTTCTGCATGTTGGCGGTGTTCAAAGGTCACAAAACCATACCCACAAGACTGGTTGGTTATTGTGCTTCTGCACACTTGCACAGAACAGATTGGTCCGACTGGGCTGAATATTGCATGCAACAGTTGTTCGGTCACATCTGGGTGCAAATCACTGACAAGCAATGACCCCTGGTCATTTGGTTCTTGGCTACCCTCACCTGAAGACCAATTGTAGGACGTTACCATTTTTTATTGTCCTTTTAAGAATAGCCTATTCTTAACAAAAAAGCTCTTTGTACAAAACACAGATGCTGTGTAGAACTCACAAATCACGACTGTATCCAAGAAGGGTTCAAGTCTTAGTCATAGAAAGGTTATGATATGAACTGACTGACAACTTTCCTCCTTTTTGTGTGTGTATGTGTGTGTGGGTTTTTCCTTCTTGTATAGGCCCCGAACGTTCTAAAGTCCCGATGACGTCACAACACTATCACGTGACATCTAATGTTGCATCTACAGGGTTTAACTTTTTTTTTTTTAAATCATCCCTCACAGTATTGGATAAGATGCATCTAATAAGACAGATAATTCTGGTCCTTGATGCTTATTGATCAATAGCCGTGTTTTATTTACGATCTGTGTATTATTGTGCAACACCATTAGCATCAGTAGCAACATAAACATGCTTTTTAAAGGAATATTGTTATTCTTGTTGCATAGGCATGTCAAAAAAATTTTCATGTCAAAAATTGTTCCACGTAATATGTATTTCAGCAAAATTACCTGTTTAATGAAGTATGAGTGACCCCTGCTGGCATTGTTATGTCTGTCAAAGAACTTCTCAAGCGGCGTGGTATAGTGGTGTGTGTGTGTTCTAAGGTTCAAGAAACTGTTCTAATGAAAAAAAAAATAAATCAGATTATTATTTTATAGGTCAGGTTTTTTAGGGTTAACAAAACCAAATTCAGTGTGTTTTATATTTTTTAAATTCACATTGTGTTTATTTTGTAAAGTTTATATTCACACTGAATCTTATGTGATAATGTCCTGTTTAAAACAGAATGGATGCTGTAAACGTGAGATTTATGGCATATTGAATGAAGTAAAGAGATAATTGCGGTATCAGTATAATCTGTGATCTGTGAGTCTAATGACAGATCATTGCAACTGATGTTATGTAAGAAAATCGAGTGACGCACGTAACAAAGTTTGATTTAGAGTTGTATTTATTCAGTCAGCTCATGTAAAAACATGCACACATTCAATGACTGAGACTTGTCTGTGTTCTTTGGTCCGGATCCTTCAACCTCAGCTCAACCTGAATCATGTCAATCATATTCCACTGATAAAAGGAAAAATCTTTGGAAATAAAAATAAGCTTTCGTTAGGTAACCAGTACAAGTAAAAAATTATGGTACTGGTGCTGTCCTTGAAAACATGTCTGATAACTTTGCTCAAAATCAACAGATATTATGTAGTGTACTCATAAACTATATATATATATATATATATATATATATATATATATATATATATATATTTTATATATATATATATATATATATTTATATATATATATATATATATATATATATATATATATATATATAGTTAAACTATATATATATATATATATATTGAATTCATAATGTGGTCTTGTTTGAACAGAAAAATAATCTAAAAGGCATTTTGGGACATAGCTTGTAAACATTAAATAGAGTTTTTAGCTTCTACTGTAAGATAAAATAAGGCACCTAGGTACTGATACCACTGATGGCATCTAGTGAACTTTTTGGTTTTGCATTTCTCAGGTGCAGCGTCCACTGCAGTGCAACAGTCACATTAAAAGAGTTACATCCACTTCAAACCCGTCCTATTCTTCACATCTACTCAACATTAATGTAATGTAGCGTCTGTTCAGTCCCTCACTCTCTCCTCCAGCGCCCTCAGCTCTCCTTCCACTTGTGCAGGTAGATCAGCTCCAACCTGCTGGGTGAAGTAGGTCCGAAGCTCCTGTGTTTCCTTCTGCCAGAAGGGTTTGGGCAGGTCAAAGAGGGCACCCATATCGATATTCCCACCCAGGTCTTCTGTGTTTATGGCACCGTTTTGTGGAATCCATCCCACAATGCTTTTGGTGGCGGCTTCCTCTTCACTGGTACGGCCGCATCGTGTGAAGATCCACTCGAGGACGCGGGCGTTCTCTCCAAACCCTGGCCACAGGAAAGAGCCGGTCTTCTGATCTTTCCGGAACCAGTTGACGTGGAAGATCTTGGGGAGTTGGGTCGGGCCCTTACGTGTCTCCATACTCAACCAGTGGGCCAGGTAGTCGCCGAAGTTGTAGCCGAAGAAAGGACGCATGGCGAAGGGGTCATGCATGATTACTTTACCTAAAGAAAATGAGCCATATATATATTTTAAAAAATATATATATATCAGTATAAGCTTTTTGTTTAGTTTGTCACTAAGTGCTTAAATGTAGTGTACACTTTTGTGTACTGTTTATCATATGGAGAAATAAAAGTTTGTACCTTTATGTTCAGCAGCAGCTGTGGATTCAGATCTCATGGCTGCACCCACAAACACACCATGACGCCAGTTAAATGACTCATACACCAAAGGCACACCTGGCAAAAAAGACAGGTACATTTTGAGATATAATGTATAAAATATATGTGTATGTATATATACAGAACTGTTAGAAAGTTTGAGGTCTGTAAGTTTTTTTTTATGTTTTTATGTTCACCAAGGCTACATTTATTTGATTAAAAATGCAGTAATAACAGCAATATTGTGAAATATTATCACAATTTTAAAAGTAACAGGTTTCTGTTTTTAATTTATTAAAAATTGAATTTATTCCTGTGATGGCAAAGCACAGCATTTATTTTTTTTGTAAATGTATAGATGTCTTAACGCTAACCTTTGATCAATTTAATGCATCCTTACTGTTTACATCAAGAATGATAACTATATGATAACTAGTAATAAATAATGATGAATAGCATCCACACCAACAAAATATAACGCTCTTCAGTTTGTTGTCTGCCACTTTAAATGCTTGAGCTCTTTAAAGCAGGATGGATTCTGATCGGCTGTCAATGTTATCATTCATCAGCTTTAAATGCTATTTTTTTTATTTTTATAAAGGTTTTAAAACTATATATTTTTTTTTTTTCATTATTGTTATAATTGTTGTCCTTGGTGTAAACCAGTGTTATTTTAGTATCAAGATACTATTCTAGTTTTTATTAATATTTTGAATAAGTTTGAATTTTTATATTTTCCATTTCGTATTTTCCATTTTGTTGTGTTTTTGTCATTTTTACTTAATGTGTATTTTATTTCGGGTAAAAAAAAAGTAGTTTTTTTAATGATTTTAGTTAATTGTGAACGGGCCTTAAAAGTATTGAGTTCTAAAATAATATGTACATTTAATATAGGCAATTTTGATTCAGTGATACCACCCACCTTCTGGTCTTCTGCCACCAAATACAATGGCATCAATCGGGACGCCCTCATCACTTTCCCAGAGTGGGTCTATGATGGGGCACTGGCCAGCCGGGGCACAAAACCTGGAATTCGGGTGGGCACACAGTGTAGAATCACCTGAGAAACACAACACCATGCCACAGATGCTGTCCATATAGATCATTTTATTTAGTATAGAAATAAATTATATTTATATAATCATATTTGTTATTTATATATTTTTTTAAAGTTTTTTTTCTATTTATCTATTTATAAATGTTTCTAAGAATTTTTTTAATATTTTGTAAAAATTAGTTTGCTAAACAATGATCTTACCATACTTCCAGGATTTTCCATGCCAGTCTCTGAGTTTGATTCCAGGTGCAGGTGGTTCCAGACCCTCCCACCAAACACCCCCATCACTGGTCTCTCCCACGTTAGTGAACACTGTGTTCCTGGAGATGGTTGCCATGGCATGAGGGTTTGTCTTCAGGGACGTCCCGGGGGCAACTCCAAAGAAACCATTCTCTGGATTAATAGCTCTGAGTTTACCTGGTGAAGAGAATCAAAATACACCACTGTCTGTTAAAAACATCTATTTATAACCATAAACAACAGTATTCCAATCAACACTATACGGCAAAACTGTTTCTCAGCAACTCCCAGGGTTTGTTTACTGAGAGCCATGTACTTAATATTTCAGTTTTAATTAGTTCTCTTTCTGCTGCCCAATATAAATGCTAAAATAAAAGATATGGTGTCATTTCCTGGCTGCCCATAAACCCACATTTCATGCTGTCAACAGATGCATGTGTTGTCTAGGACAAGTCATATTTCTCACCCTGACTGTCAAATTTCATCCAGGCGATGTCATCGCCCACACACTCAACCTTCCAGCCTGGCAGTGCTGGTTTCATCATGGCCAGGTTAGTTTTCCCACAAGCGCTCGGGAATGCTGCTGCAATGTACCGTTTTACACCCTGAGGATTTGTGATTCCGAGAATCTGGCGGAGAAAGAAACAGGGACGTCTATCAACATCATGTTTTACAAACGACGACTCTAAAAGAGTAGTACATAAGCACGATGCATTGTCACTTGATCGATATGGCGCATAGATATTATATAAGGTTGTAAACTCTCATTAAACTCAAATGTCTTAAAGGGGATAAGCAAGAAAATTCTGTCTGATGTACCATACCAGCATGTGTTCAGCCAACCAGCCTTCGTCTTTGGCAATGCGTGAGGCGATACGAAGAGCAAAGCACTTCTTTCCAAGGAGCGAGTTTCCACCGTAACCGCTGCCGAAGGACAGGATCCGTCTGGTGTCAGGAAGATGTGAGATCAACACCTTGTCCGGGTTACAAGGCCAGCTGTTTACTAAAGGAGCTGTGCGAGAAGAACAGAGAAAGATAAGATATTGACAAGAAAAAAAAAAAATATATATAGTACAGTTAAAAAGTTTGGGGCAGTATTTATATATATTTTTTCAAATAAATTCATACTTTTATTCAGCAAGGATACAATAAATTGATCAGAAGTGTGACAGTAAAGACATTTATAATGTTACAAAATAGTTATATTTCAAATAAATGCTGTTCTTTTAAATCCTTTAATCCTTACGAAATGTATCATGGTTTCCACCAAAAATATTAAGCAGCACAACTGTTTTCAACATTGATAATAATAAGAAATGTTTCTTGAGCAGCAAATCATTAATATTAGAATGATTTCTGAAGGATCATGTGACACTGAAGACTGGAGTAATTATTCTGAAAATTCAGCTTTGCCATCACAGAAATAAATTAGGTTTCAACATATATTCAATTTGAAAACAATTTATTTTTAATTGTAGTAATATTTCACAATGGAGCTATGTTTATTGTATTTTTAATCAAATAAATGCAGCCTTGGTGAGCATGAGACTTCTTTTGAAAACAAATAATCTTACTGACCCCAAACTTTTGAAAGGTAGTGTAATTAGCCAAATAATACTGTAAAATAATAAACAATATACGGCAAATAAAGTGACACAATGGATAACTTGAAGGAACTGGTGAAATTTAGAGTTTCATTTGATTGAGTGAATCGCATTTACATTTAATCTGACATTATTATAAATCAAGGTACCTTTGAGTGGTAAAGGTCGGCCCACAGAGTGCTGGCAGCGCACAAATTCGGCCCCCTCGGCTAGTTTCTGCACCACAGGTGTCCCCATGCGTGTCATGATGCCCATGCTGGCCACCACATATGGAGAATCTGTCACCTGAACGCCAAATTTAGCGAGAGAAGAGTTCACAGGGCCCATACTGAAGGGGATTACATACATAGTGCGTCCTACAGAGGGACAGAAAGACAAATATTCAAGAACTTTTGGGCATTCCAAAAGTTTCCTCTCGGCATCCCAAACTGTCCTACATGAGTGTGTGGACTGATGAACAATTTGATAGGTACTTGGATTTTAAAAGAATATTTCAGGTTAAATATAAATGAAGGTCTAACAGGATTCTGTGCATTTTACAAAATGGAAAGTTATTATTTTCAGAGCAAACATGACATTTTAATATATTTTA